CCCCCCGCAACCAGGATGCAGATCCCTGCTTCTGCCCACCCATAGATGAGATACTGGGAACCAAGACAGGGACACAGACGGGCAAGAGCAGGAGAGCGGGCCTCATCTTCCCTGCATTCCTGCGGTGGGACACCAGCTCCCTCCAGCCAGTCCTCCTGCCCGGTACCCATCAGACTCCCCTCAGGAAGGGAGGAATCTCCAAACAGTGAAAAACCGGCTTCCTGCAGCCACCAACTGGTGAGGACCAGGGCCCAGAGCCAGCCACAGCACGAGCAGCTTCCCAGCACACGGCCCAGCCCTCAGGTGCTTGCCTCAGTCTCCCACCTGCAACCCCAGAGGGAAAACAGAGCTCTCCTGCCCCCAAGGCCAGGGTTTGCAGCCCCCGGAAGCAGCCCAGGCACAGAGGAGGGACACAGGTGGTCACAGCCTCCAAGAGGCAGCAGTCTCCGTCCGTCCGTCACCGCAGACCCTCTGAAGGCACACAAGAAGCCACCAGCAGGAGTAGAGCCCAGGGTTGCGGAGAAAGTGGGGGGCTGGAAGGGTGGGGGGCACTACCAGCCCGTCTGGGGGCCAGGTGCCCCAAGTCCAGGCAGTGCCAGGACAGCACACCCTGTCTGCTGTGCACAAACCCCAACACAAAACACAACGAGCCTTTTCTTCCCAGTCTCCGGGAAGGAGCCGATATCGGCGCACAGCTGCCCAGATAAATTTTGGGTGGTGACATGTGCGGGAGAGGAGGCCTTGTTCCACTCTGCCGGCTGCGGAGGGGAGAGGTCTGGACACAGGGACAGTCCTAATGTCCTGAACGCTGCTGGGACGGGACAGCTGGGGAATGGGGAGATGGCTGTCCCCAGACACCCACTCAGCCTGCGAACCCCCGGCCCCTCCCAGACTCAGCCACTCAGGTGTGGGGCCACGTCCTGGCGAGGGACAGGATGGGTCAGCCTTGAGGAAGCACTGGACTTCATCCCCCACACCCAGGAGCTGGGGGACATCAAGGACACCTCTTGGGGCCCTCCCCGGCCTCACTGCTCAGGGAGACCCCGTCTCCACGGTGGAGGTTACCTGGGGCGCCCACCAAGGGCCTAAAACTGGAGGAGTTCATGCCTCCTGGTTCCGGAGGCACCAGACGATCCAGAGGTGGAACTACAAACGGGTCTCAGGGGAGCACCGAGCTGTCCTTGCCTCTGCCAGCTTCCACGCCACATGCACCCCTCAGCCCAAGGCCACACAGCCCCTGCACTGGCGTCCATCACCCGCCACCTCTGCCTAACCTGACCGCCCAGTGGCGAGTGTAATTACGTCTGCGAAAGTCCATCCCTAAAACCCCTTGCCCATCTCGCCTGCAGAGTTCAGGGGCCGGGAGGCTGACGTATCCTTTGGGGGGCCGCCACTCAGCCCACCCCAGCACCCTGCTGCACAGTGCACAGGCTCACGGACAGCCTGCAGTGGGGCTCTGAGGACACCCCTGCCTAAGGCCGCCTGGCTGGTGGACGTGTCTTCCCAGCCTCGACCTGCAGGCCTGGGACACATGGTGGCTTCAGCCTATCGTACCATCCCCCCACAAGCATTCAGAGCCATGTGGACCCTAGTCAAGATCCCCAAGATGCAGGGGGAGCTCTGGCCACAACAAGGATCCACACACCTGGGGCGCCTCACGCTCTCTGCCATCCCGCGTCTGATGCCCCTGCCAGCCCTGAGAAGACCCAGGTAAGCCTCCACTTCACCAGCCTCCAATGAGGCACAACTAGGGCTTTAACAGCAAACCGGCTTCCCGAGCAACCTGCAGAGGTTGGAAAATGATCGGTTCTTTCACTTTGGGCTCCTATTTAGCCTGAAAAAGCCAGGGGGTCCTCAGGGCTGTGGGCTCAGTGTGTGGGTTTCCAAAAAAGGAAGGCATTTGGCAAAACCAAACCTTTTGCTAATTAGTAACAGTCGGAAACTTTTCCTGTGCTGAGGGTTGAACCCAGGGGCCATTCCACCACTGAGCTAGCCCCTTTTCTCATTCTTCACTTGGAAACAGGGTCTCACTAACATACCCAGGTGAGAACCTAACTTGCAATCCTCCTGCCTCAGCCTCTCTGAGTGCTGAGATTACGGCCACACACTGTGTCTGGCTCAGAAACATAGTCAGAAGAAAACCCCAGCTGATGTCTTCTGAATGCAGCAGACAGAGACCCCAGCATGCCCAGTGCATTGAAATCTCAGCCCACGTGGAAGAAGAGGGAACCTTCAGGTCCGGGGTGCCGGTGGGGCTGCAGGGAGGTCCCACCCCAAGCTCACTGCAAGGCATGGGAACTGCAGACTTCAGCAGAGCTCCAGACAGGCCAGGCTCAGACGGGAGGAAAAGGTCAGGGTGGGGAAGAGCAAGAGTGGGTGAAGGGGACCATGGCCCATGTCTTTGTCCCCAGCTCCTGCGTGCAAGAATCTCAGCAACCTGGGCTGTCCAGACCCTGCACACCAGATGGGGCTGGGCCCTTGCACGGCTCCAGAAGTGACCCAAACCTGAGGGTCCTGGATGACCCACAACCTGGAGCCTTGGCCCCACACGGACCACATCCGCACACCCAGTGGGGCCCCAGGGCAGGGGCAAGGAAGCGTTCTGGTACAAGAGGCACACGGCATGCGGCCAGCAGGATGGCAATCCTCCCTACTGCCCTTCCCCTGGCCACCTGGAAGCCCCGCCGGGCCCACCCGTAATAACTGCAGCTGTGATCCTGCAGCTTCTGTGCAGTGAGGCCTCCAGGCAGTCTCAGGGGCCTCCACGCCATCACCATGGTAAAGACAAAGTGCTGGGCCCCTTTCAGGCCAGCGCTCAGCTAGGGGTCCACGTGCCAGTGCTCTGAAGCCCAAGCGGCCACGTCCCTCCCCAGAGGCACTCAGGACGGGGCCGCGCAGCTCCCAAGGACAAAGGGCACAGACCTGGGACTCACCGCCCACCTTCACTCCCTACAGTGGAAGCAGTGGACCTTCCGTCCCCACCACAGCCTTGGGCCAGAACCGCGGCCGCCCCCTGCCCCTCCACTTCGCTTGGGGATGGGCTGCAGGGAGGGCACCCACCCATCCGAGGGGCTCCCTGCTACATACATGGACAGCAGAATGGACGCAGGGCGGCTCTCTCCACATTCTCTGCCACCCTGGCCTCCCGCAGGGCCTTGATCAGCATCAGGAGGGCCCACTGTCCCTAGATATCACCGGGCTACAGCCCAGCCTGGGGAGGAGGCACAAGGGTGGAGGACTGAGCATGGCTTAGGGTTCACGCGTGGGAAAAGCACAGGTGGACTCCTGTGAGAACCCCACTGCTGCTGCTGCTTACGAACACGCGAAGACACCCTCGTGTAGGGATGGCTGAGAAGCACACAGGCGACACTGGGTGTCAGCTCAGGCCAGTAGAAAGAAGAACACACAATCAGTCATTTCCAGAGACAGAGCCACAGACTGGCCCTGTATCCAAAAACATGTTTATGTTTATCTTTGGGTTGCTTTTTTCCCCCTAGTACTGGGGGTTGAACCCACACTTCTACACTGAACTATACACACAGGCCCCGTTCATTTTGTTTTTTAAATTTTAAGATATGGTCTTCCTAAGTCACCCAGGCTAGGCTTGACCTTGTGATCCTCCTGCCTCAGCCTCCCAGTGTTCTGGAATTGCAGACCTGCACCACCAGGCCCAACTTCTTTGTCTTTCTTTTTTTTTAATCAGGCATTTTTAAGTGGTGCCTATGGCAGCCTCATAACAGCTAAAGCCAGCCTGTGCCCAGGGCAGGGCTGGGGGCTGGGCAGTGGGCACACCGGGCCATGGAGACAGGACTGGTTACACTGTTATTCTTTGTACCAAGTTTGTTATAAACATCCTTTTCACTGTGTAATATTTCATTGGGAAACATTTCCAAAGAGCCTAGTCTATAACTGACATTAAAAAAGAAAAATTCGGCTCAAAGGAATTTTGTAATCTTCCGAGGACCCGGGGTGAAAGACGTCCGGGGCTCACATCCATGCCTTGCCCCCCAAGCACCCTGGCACCTGGCCTGGGACTCCACCTGCAGGCGTGACCAGTGTCCCGTAAGAGGACACCACTGTGGTGCTGAGGCTTGTGCCCAGGCAGGAGCCTTTGGTGACTACACTCAGGGAACCCTGGACACAGCAGAGAGGGGAGCCCCCGTGCTGGGACTGTCCCCAGGACCCGGGCTCTCTGGTCCACAGATCAGAGCCGCAGAATGCAGCAGCCAGTTCTCAGTGGACCAGGCCTCCCTCCCACTGATTTGCACCCAAGAAGGAGCCAGGCCTCGGGCTCATGGGACCTCAGGGGGGAACTCTGTGATCCGGAGAGAACTGACCAGGGTGGACAATGCTGGGGGCCTGGGTCCTCCCAGTGTCCAGCCCACGAGTGGCAGCCCCTCTTCCGGGCAGGTACAGACCCCGGCAGCTACCGCGCCCAGGCCAGCTTACGAACACGTGAAGAACACGGGGAAGCTCTGCTTCCCAGCATGCGGTGCGTCCTGTAGGCAACGGTCTGTGTGAAAACTGATTTGCTGATCTTATTCCCCGAAGCTGGAGATTTTGCCGCTGTCAGTAACGTGCTAAGAGATTTCCCTGGTGAATGTGCAGGCCCCCTCCACACCCTTCTGGCCGCCCACGCCGGAGTTTCACAATATGGGAGGGAAAGGTGATCTGCAGACAGCTCTGACACCTGTGACAAGGCGGCAGGTGGCTGGGATTAAAGGTGCGCCGGCAAGCACGCTGGGGAACTCACCTGATCCCTTTGTTCTGCGCGATGCTGTGCAGGGAGAGCCGGGACACCGCCGAGATGACCTGCGGAGACAAGAGACAGCACCTGTGACTTCAGAGCTGCCGGGATGGAAAGCCGTCCCACGGCAGCAGCGACTGGGTGCTCACTGTGGGCGTGGAGAACGGGTAACAGCACATCCTGCCTGGTAGGAGACAGCGCCAGGCTCTGCAGGTGTGACACCGGGCTGTGCTTGGCGTGCAGAAGCTGGGGCTGCACTGTCACCGGCCAAGGGGCCACGCGCACTGCAGATAACCCAGGAAGGCTGTTCCGCAGGCTGCCATGGTCCTAACACAGGTCACGCTGCTGTTCTGGAAGTCACCGCCAGTCACGGCTCATGCTCAGAGCAGGGAGCTGGGGACCAGGAAGCCCAGAGCCTCTGAGCAGCTGGGACACGGCAGAGGCAACCACTTCCGTGCAGCGCCCGTCTCCGAGCCTGATATCTCCAAGCCTGATGAGCTCTGGAACATTTGGCCAGGAGCGGGGGTGCTACTCCTTCCTCTGCCCCCAACCTGGCCCTGCCCTGTGATTGGCCAGCCGCCTCCACACACGAAAGGCCCCCCAGTCATCCCACATATCTTGAAATGGGCAGGGGGGGAGCAGGCCTGGCAGGAAGGCAGAGATGAATGTGGGGAAACTGAGGCAGGGGAGGAGGCAGCTGATCCGGGAGCACAAGGAATCACACAGGAGACGGAACCGGAAACAGAACGTGGCCTGGGCCTGGGGCCTGAAGCACTGTGGGGGTTCTCTGGGTGTGTGTGCTTGCGCGTGTGGACACAGGTGCCTCCATGTGCATGCGTCTTGTGTGTGTGCATGCACGTGTGTGCGTGTGCAGGGAGGGATGGGCAACAAGAAAACAGCCCCCAAGCCCCGGGCCCACTCGGACGCCTCCCCAGTGCTGCTCCTAAGGAGCTGCCCCGTGGTATTTGGGGGCAGCAACGCCGGCGAGGTCCCCGCAAGCTGTGCTGCCATGCACCCTTGGTGGGCAGGGACCCAGGCTGGGCGCTGGCACACAGGCATCCATAGGGCGCAGTTCTGAGGCTCCACTCAGGCCACTCTGCTCCCAGCAGGAGGGGAAACGCGGCACGGAGAGGAGCCTCTCTAGCCCGGGGAGCACTGTCCCTTTCAGGGGCTCTGTTTTGGGGCCGCGGCTCACAGAAGTTTTGAGCTCGGCAGTGACAGGGGCTTCTTGTGTCCTCAGACAAGACTCAAAGGGCTCATTATGCAGCCGGCCAGACGCAGCTCCCAGCCACATGTGCTACAAGGCGCCTTTCACTAATAAGGAGCAACTGGGCCTTCGGTGTTGTTTTTGGCTTTTAAGAGCTCCAAACATTTAGAAGGAATAAAAATTAAAGCAATACTGCTGAATGTCATTAACAGTTATTTGGTACATGCCAGAAATGGGAGACCTGAACAGTTGACCAGTACAGAGCACACAAGCCACCTCTTCCCATGCCTCCCATGGCAGACATCACTAATCAACTGCCGCACTCCTCCCTGTGAGCCACTTGCAGGCACAGGATCCCTGGCAGAGTCCTGGGTCGGCACCAGCCATTATCAGCACCTGTCCAGGAGATGCAGCCTGTGTGCCAACCCACAGCCAGGGCAAGGCCTCGTTCCCATGGAAGCCAAGATCAGCAGCTGAAGCAGATGCATGTGAGTCCTTGTGTCCCCACGCCTGGAGTCCTGAGAACGGACGGGCTCTTCAGTCACACTGACCGGGCACCTGGACCCCAAGTGTGCAGCACCTGTGCCAAATGGTGGCTGTCACTAGCAGTTTGTGCAGGGTTTAGCCCTGGGGTGCATGCAGCACCGACTGAAGGTGGCTGATTAAATGTGGTGAGCCATGCTCAGCAAGCAGACCCGCTGCCAGCCTGGCGGGCTGTGCCCGAGGTGCCTGTCCCTGCATCCCCTGGCCGTGAGCTCCCCTGGCCAGTGTCTGTGCAGAGGGGCCTCTTGGGGGCCACGTGGGAACCCGCTCCAGTGATATAAAGCCCGGATCACGGGTCAGATGGGGGCAGGGGAGGCCCCCCGACACCCTCCGCAAGAGGAGGAAGGCAGGGACTCCCTAAAGCCCCAAGCCTAGGACAGCCCTCTCAGCGATGATCAAAAGCCACTCATCCCAGGCCCAGGCTCCTCTGAGCACAAATGTCAGAGGATGACATTTTCCCAACTGTTATTTCCGCTTCCCAGCTGTGTCCCAAGCAGCACATGAATGGAAATGCATCCCTCTTCCCCCTCCTTCCCCACTAGATAGGCAGCTCCCAGTGGCTCAGCTGGGGGTGCCAGGGAGGAGGCTGCGCCCCAAGAGGACCTGCGAGGGAGCTGCCTACACCACCAGCTCCCTGCAGCGCTCACTATGCCAACCACTTAACTGACATGCACTTAAGTGAGCCTGGTGGAAAGGAGGCGACAGGGTAGCCAGAGGACAGGGTGATATTGGGGTCTGGATCATGGATCGAGATCTTGGCTCTGTTCCTAGCCAGCCAGATCCTCTGACCCCTGACCCCCAGACCACAGCAACCCAGGAGCCCTGACACCAAACAGGAAGAGCTGTGGAGAACAGATCCCCACATATACTGTTTCCAGGGCTCTGAGGTCCTGGAATCTGTTTACTGGCAAGCACCACACGGTTGGGATGCCCACCTTCCTGGAAACTGGGTCATCAGGTAATGCTACCACCCGGTCCAGTGACCAGCAGGGCTGGGACACCTATGGCCACCCCAGAAAAGGGGCATGAAACAGCTCCGGGCTTCAGAGCTGGACAGTTAGGTAGAGCAGTCTTGAAGGACTTTGTGGAAAGGAGACACCAGAGGTTAGGAGAGCTGTCTCCATTGGGAACCTCAACAAGCCCAGGCTTCCAGCCCTGACCACTGAGTCTGCTGTCCCCCCGCCAAGCAATGGACTGAGAAGACTTGTCCCATAGAGCAGAAATAGAGCCGAGCCTGCTATCCTGTCTGGGGGAGGAGAGGGGGGCCAGCCTGACCCAGCAGCCCTTCCGCCCTGGCCATGACAGAGCTGGCCACCCCGTCACAGGCTGAGCTGCTCACCATGACAGGAGCAGGCCCCTGTCAGAAGGGTTTTGCTGCGGCAGCTCAGCCTGATGTAACAGCAACCAGCAGAGCCCAAGCGCAGCCTCCCCGCCCCACCAAGCAATTCCAGGGCAACAGTGCAGGGCCCTGGGGTGTGGGTGCCCAGCCCGCTGTGGTGGCTGAGCTCTCCCTGCTCATGTGCTGGGCAGCAGAGCCCAGGGCTCTGGGGCAGCTCAGGCCTGGACACCAGCCGCAAATCCACGCAGAGGTGAGAAGGCTGATCTCATCTCCCTGGCGGCCAGCCTGCCCAGAAGAGGGTTACGACACCACCCCCGAGACCACGTACTCCCAGCGGGGGAGCCACTGGGAGTGGGCCTGGCTGGGGAGGGGAACCACGGTGAGTCCCCGGTTCCCCGGCACAGGACACAAGGGAAACGAAACCATCACAGCCACAAGGGAATCCGCCCGGGGTGAAGGAACGCTCTGGAGGGAGCTCCTGGGTACAAAACACATTCATAAATATCTCAAGCGGAGAAAAACGGCTGTAAAACACGTATAGCAGACATAAAATGTTTGGAAATATGTGCTCCCAGGAAGAGCCTGGCAGGCGCCACATGACGGGCTGGCAGCCACCATCCCTGGGCAGTGAACCCCGCCCCTGGCTGCCCTGCTGGTGCCTACCCACACCCACACTCCAAGGGCAGCCCAGCACGAAGCCGCCCGTCATACAGCGTGTCACTCAAACCAAAGGGACCCGATTCCCAGCCCTGAGCTAGGAACACTCAACCAGTCATGCCCGCCACGCCCTGGCCAGCGAAGCCCCAGAGCGATCACAGTGAAGCAACCAGAGGCCGACGGGGACCTGCCGGCTTGAGAAATTGAGGACCGCCCTGTGGGAGAGTGACTTGCTCTCAACGCAGAGGTCTGTGAAGCCTGCCCTTCCGCTCTGTTCCAGTGCCTCACTCCAGGGAGTTGCTCGGCAAGTGATGGCCTGGGCCCACAGAGGGGTGCGTGGATGAGTGGGTGATGGGTGGGAGATGGTGGGTGTGGATAAGGGGACGGGGCTGGCTGGACGGTAAGTGGGTGCGTTCCGGAGGGGACCTGCCTTCTGATCCCTACCTCTCTACCTCTCCATCTTCACGACTTGAGCTACCACTCACTGACACATACCACATGCTGAATGTACCAGGACCAGCGTGACGTACACGTGCCCTGTATGCGCCCTCCTCATCACGCGCAGACAGGGGATAGACTCAATGACCTTGCCACGGGCCACCCAGCAGGAAGCGGCTGCAGGACAGAACTGCACGGCCCAGCCCTGGGCCTCTGCCGCACAGCATGACCACAGGAGATCACTACTCGTGTCAAACCCTGCCTTCCCTTCCAGGCCTAGCCGGACCGTGTCTTCCAGCCTCCCTTTGGCTCCTGAAGTCCACCCAACAGATGGAAACAGACACGAAGGCTATCACTGCAAGTCTGGCTTGTGACACTTCCCTGTCCCTAAGATGACCTAAAACCTCACGTCAAGTAGCAAAGCCACCGTCAGCCTGGGTCCCCAAAGGTGTGCATGGAGCAGACACTCCGCCACCCACCCGCGTATCCGGCCATCTCCAGTGGAAGCTGCCACAGCCTGGGCCTATGTGTTCCAGCAACCAGGCCTGTCCTCCCCGCACCGCGCCTCCATCTTCCACCAGAACTCAGAATGTGACCCGCAACACAGGGTTCCCCTCCGCAGGCCTCAGTCGGGTGCTCCAGGCAGAAGTGACACCGGCGACAACCAAATCCCACCACCCTGACGGAGTGCCCTGCCTTCCAGAGAACCAGAGCCTGATCCTGCCAGGGGCTCCAGCTCCCTGGGCCTGGGCTGGCAGGTGCACCGTCGGCCAACCCGGCTGCTCGCAAAGCTGTGCTGAGAAGGCCTGCCAGCCCCACTCTTGGCCGTCATCTGGGATCCATGAGCAGGAGCCGCACAGCCCTGGCCCGAGCCCAGACCT